CGAGCTGCACTCTCTCGACTTCAGCACAGCTTTCTTGCAGGGCAGTCTGCACGAGGAGATCTGGCTGCGCCGCCCACCTGGCTTCACTGGGTCTTTCCCTCCTGGTACCCAGTGGAGTCTCCGGCGTCCAGTCTACGGTCTCCGCCAGGCGCCACGTGAGTGGCACGACACACTGAGGACTACGCTCGCGGCACTTGGGTTGGCTCCGGCTACTGCCGACCCGTCGCTGTTTCTGCGCACCGACACCTCTCTGCCGCCGTTCTACATCCTCGTGTACGTCGACGACTTGGTCTTTGCCACAGCTGACACTACTGGACTCGCCTACGTGAAGTCCGAGCTGCAGAAGAGACATACGTGCACTGACCTGGGTGAACTGCGTAGCTACCTTGGCTTGCAGATCACCCGGGACAGAGCGCGCCGCACCATTACCCTGACTCAGTCACACATGGTGCAGCAGGTCCTTCAGCGCTTCGGCTTCACATACTCCTCGCCTCAGGCCACTCCTCTGCCTACTCGCCACTCGCTCTCAGCTCTGCCTTCGGATGAGTCCGTAGAGTCGAGTGGCCCGTTTGCAGAGCTTGTTGGCTGCCTCATGTACCTGATGACCTGCACACGTCCTGACCTTGCATACCCTCTTAGCATTCTAGCACGCTATGTTGCTCCTGGGAGACACTGACCAGAGCACATGGCTGCAGCGAAGAGGGTGTTGCGTTACTTGTGCAGTACGTCGGGCATGGGGCTAGTGCTTGGAGGGCGCAGTCCAGTGGTCCTCACTGGGCACGCAGACGCTTCCTGGGCTGACGACCAGGCTACGCAGCGGTCGTCACAGGGTTACACCTTCAGCCTTGGTTCCGGCTCTGTTTCGTGGCGGGCTACTCGCTCGTCTTCTGTTCTCGGCTCCAGTTGTGAGGCTGAGATCTACGCTGGGGCTATGGCTGCACAGGAGTTACGCTGGCTCACCTACCTGCTGACCGACCTTGGAAAGCAGCCTCGTTCTCCTCCAGTCCTGTACGTAGACAACAAGGCCATGCTGGCCTTGTGTCGAGAGCAGCGACTGGAGCATAGAACGAAGCACATTGCTCTCCGCTACTTTCTTGCTCGTGAGCTGCAGCAGCGTGGACAGTTGCGACTTGCGTACGTGGCCTCTGAGGCCAACACTGCTGATGTCTTCACTAAGGCACTTGCGCCTTGTGATCATCAGCGTTGTTGCACGCAGTTGGGTCTTGTGCCTGTCTTGCCTCACTTGCTCACTTCTTGACCTCGCTTGTTCCTTCACCTATATATACTCTTGCTCTTGCTTGCTTGACTCTTGTATATCTCTATATATGATCTTGCATGTGAACTGGCCTTCTGGCCTGTGAACTTGTGCTCAGAATGCGTGGTGACTTTGTGATCCACCCTGAGCTTTGCTTTGCTTTGCTTGACTGGTCTTGTGACCCCTTGTTCTCCCCCACTTTGCCTATGGGGGTGTTTCAGAACATTATAGCTTACTTGTTTGTGTAGGCTATAGTGGGGTATCCCATAGGGGGTACAACCCAGTTAGGGTTTCCTATTTGTACTCACTTCGTTCATAGTCATTTCATTCTCTCGTTCACTTCTTGTCACCAATTTCTCGCGTTACCATTACCACGCTAGCTTCGCTATATATTCTTTGTTCATGCCTTTGCTTTATGTATTGTTTTGCTTTGATAGTGTAATTCCCGCTCGCTCGCTCAATTGCACTTGTAACACTTGGTATCAAAGCATGCGATCTCCTCTCGGATCGCACCCACACCTTCACTTCCCCACTATCTCTTTTTTTTTAAAAGGGCGTAGACGTCTCTCAGCGCCCAAGCACCGCCGCTCAAAGTGCTCTCTCGAATGCATGCACGGCCACGACTGAGGCTCTCGCTGAGCTTGCCTGACACCCCCACCATGGGTGAATATAATCTCGCGACATGGACGCAAGAGCGCTTCGATCAACTCGTGCGCCAAGTCAAGGAATCGGCACTTGAAATCGCAACACTCACTGCGGAACGTAACTCCGCTCGACAACAATCAACAGCGAATGCACCCTCCAATGCAATGCACTTGCGCAATCGGATGAGCCGATTCTCATCTTGCCCGGCACACCTTCACATCACGACAGCGTGGGATAGCACTCACATGCAGCCAGTGATGGCACCGCCCACTCGATGCATGGCATGAAGGGCTGCACCAAGCAAGAGTGCATCTCGTAAAGCCCGTCGTCACGTCGAATTTGCAGCGATGATCGGCAAAGAGGACGTTGGTGCACCAATGCTGCGCAAACCACAGTGCCCCCCTCTGCTTCGATCCTAGCCAACGACGAGGTCCAATGGTTCAATCGTAGGTCTTCACGATGAATGTCTTCTTCAATGCTAATTACGTCACGTCGTACACAGCGAAGATACAATACGTTGTTTTGTTGTTGAGAGTCATCGCGACGTCGCCACGCGCCTACGAGCAGACGTTGCAAGAGGAAGGGCCCACGAGGTCGGCCGTGTCAGTAGAGCTACACTGTGAGATCCCCGATCGATCCTAGGGGGGGTTACAGGCGCGTTTGCCTGGGGGGTTATGGGCGCACTGACCTGCTACTAAAACAAGCCCTTTCATCCCAATGGTCTAGTGTTTGGGATTCTGACATGGTATCAGAGCGGTCTCGGGTTCGATTCCCGGTGTATGCACATGTAGGCCGTTGCCGCTGTGCTTAGTCCTGGGCCTCCCAGTGTGGGGGGGTGTCAGTAGAGCTACACTGTGAGATCCCCGATCGATCCTAGGGGGGGTTACAGGCGCGTTTGCCTGGGGGGTAATGGGCGCACTGACCCGCTACTGAAACAAGCCCTTTCATCCCAATGCTCTAGTGGTTGGGATTCTGACAGGCCGTCACCTCGAGTTCATTCTGGATGCGTGGTGCGCAGGGCTTCACGTGCGCTTCAAGCTGATCGCGACTTTTATTCGGCGTGTCGGAGACTGCGCACTTGGCAACAGCTTGGGTCGGTCCAATATTATACGAGCGGTTTTCTCACACTGTGCGAGCAAGTCCGTTACATGCATGGGGCAGAGCAGGTGGACCGTTATGTTGGTGGACTGAAGCCGGACATCTCGCACAAGATCATGCTTAGCAAGCTATCTAATTTCAATGGAATTCTAGTGCTCGCCAAGAAAATCGAATTCTGCGCCGTCCGAGACTAGGGTCCTACTGCGGACATCGCCGTCGGGGCCGACCAAGCACGCCACCGTACATGCCGTTGCAGCAAACGCAGCTGCTGCGCCATTCAAGGGGCACTGCTTTGCTTGCAATAGGCCGGGCCATCGTAAGAGCGAGTGCCAAGAGGAGCTAAGGCGCTGTGGAGCAGAGCAGGTGAGAGAGTATGGAAGGCAGGGAAATGCCAACAGTCAGTAGAGATCGGGCCCACTATTGACGAGAATCACGATTCACCTGACCCCACTAACCCTCACCGAGTCAGAGTACCGATTTACGCAATCGACCGGGCTCGGCTGAATAAGGAGGGTACAGCAACGGATTGCCCAAGGAAAATAAAAGGGGTAGCAGTGAAGATTTTTATAGACGGAGGAGCAAGTCACAGTTTAATTTATACTGCAACCACACAAAAGATGCAACTAACGCTTAACCGTTGTTTACCGGAGATCTACACAAACTTAGTTGACGACACGTCACTTGCCATACGGGAGAAAGTGGATGGGTTGAAAGTTTGTTGCGGAGGGAACTTCAGGTTGTCAGATTATTATATCTGATGCATGTTTGTAGGCTATAGTGGGGTAGCACATATGGGGTACAGCTTTCTAGGGTTGTATTTGTACCCAACTCTGACTTAGTCATTTCATTCCTGTTCACTTATTTCACATGGTATAGAGCGGGTCCTTCCTAAGGACCGTTTTTTTTAGGGCCCACCGAAGCGCGCCCCGAGGCGCGCATTTTTTTTTAAAGCGACCCCTCGGGTCGCTCTTACTCTCGCGGCCCCGCTGTCCCTCTGACGCGGCCCCGCCACCTACTTAACGCGGCCCGGCCGCCTACTCTACCGCGGCCCCGCCGCCAACTATGACGCGGCCCCGCCGCCGGCTTTGACGCGGCCCCGCCGCCGGCTCTGACGCGGCCCCGCCGCTGGCTCCCAAGCGGCCCCGCCGCCCGCTACGTCGCGGCCCCCCCCGCCGCCGACTCTGCACAGCCCCGCCGCCGGCTCTGAAGCGGCCCCGCCGCCGGCTTTGAAGCGGCCCCGCCGCCGGCTCTTACGCGGCCCTGCCGCCGGCTCTGACGCGGCCCCGTCGCCGGCTCGCAAGCGGCCCTGCCGCCCGCTACGTCCCGGCCCCGCCGCCGGCTCTGCACGGCCCCGCCGCCGGCTCTAGAGCGGCCCCACCACCGGCTTTCACGCGGCCCCGCCACCGGCTTTCAAGCGGCCCCGCCACCGGCTCTCACGCGGCCCTGCTGCCCGCTACGTCGCGGCCCCGCCGCCGGATCTAAGGCGGCCCCGCCCCCGGCTCTGCGCGGCCCCACCGCTGGCTCTGAAGCGGCCCCGCCGCCGGCTTTCACGCGGCCCCGCCGCCGGCTCTGACGTGGCCCCGCCGCTGCCTCTCACGCGGCCCCGCTGCCGGCTCTCACACGGCCCCGCCGCTCGCTAAGACGCGGCCCTGCCCCCGGCTCTGCACGGCCCTGCCGCCAGCTCTGAAGCGGCCCCGCCGCCGGCTTTCACGCGGCCCCGCCGCCGGCTCTCACGCGGCCCCGCCGCTGCCTCTACCGCGGCCCCGCCGCCAACTCTCACGCGGCCCCGCCACCCTACCTGCAGCAGCCGAGCCGCCCACCTGCAGCACTCGGGCAGCAGTGCAGCCGAGCCGCCCGGGAGCCGAGCCGCCCTGCACCCGAGCCGCCCGGTCGCCCAGCTGCCTTATTGTAGAGCTGCACGACCTGCCCTGCCTGGTGAGCACAGTCCCACTGTCACTGCGTGCTCTTCCCCTAATGCTTGCACTGCTTCGCTGTCATCGTCATGGCTACCCCTAGTGTCCTAGCTTTTGACGCTGAGGGTCGCGCCATTGATTTTGAGGTCTGGGTCGACGACCTGCAGCTGTTCTTACAGTGCGACAGGGCAGACGGCCTTTCTCTCTTTGACCTCACCTCTGGCGCCTCTCCTGCCCCTGCTGCTGATGCTGATCCCACTGTGCGCTCTCAGTGGGCCACCCGCGATGCTGCTGCACGTCTTGCTGTGCGTCGCCACCTCCCTACCTCTGAGCGTGCGCACTTTAGTCAGTACAAGAGTGCTCAGACCTTGTACGACGCTGTAGTTGCGCGCTACTCTTCCCCTGCCACTGCTGCACTGAGCCGTCTCATGCTTCCCTACATCTTTCCTGACCTCTCTGCCTTCCCCACTGTCGCTGACCTCATTCCGCACCTCCGCACTAGTGACACTCGCTACCGCGCTGCCCTTCCTGCTGAGTTCTGCGCTAAGAACCCCCCCCCCATGTACATCACTCTCTACTACGTAGTCGCGCGCCTCCCTGACTCCCTTGGCGTAGTCAGGGACCACTTTCTCGCAGTCTGTCCCACCACCCTCACCGTCGACCTCCTCGAGAAGGCCCTCCTCTCAGCTGAGAAGAGCATAGTCGCTGTAGGGGCTTCTCTTGGTGACCCTCGCACCCCCATCTTTGAGGGGTGCTCTCCTTCCCCCTTGCTGCCCTCTGTTGCCTCTGCTGCTGCTGCCGACCTGCTTGGTCTTGAGTCGGTCGGCGCGGCGTCTGCCCCTAGTGGGAGACGTTGCTCTGGCAAGGGCAAGGGGGGCAAGGGCGCGGGTGGAGCTGGAGGGAGCGGTGGAGGTGGCGGCGGAGGCGGCGGAGGGAGTGGGGGCGGCGGCGGGAATGGTGGCGGGGGTGGTGGTGGTGGTGGCAACAGCGGCGGAGGAGGCGGTAGTGGCGGCGGCGGTGGTGGTGGTGGCAGCGGCGGGGGTGGAGGCGGCGGAGGAGGCGGCGGAGGAGGCGGCGGAGGAGGCGGTGGTGGTGGAGGGGGTGGAGCTGGTCGGGGTGGTACCCAGCAGCGGAGCGGCGGTGGTGGTGGCCAGCGCTCGCAGCAGCAGCAGCAGCAACGTTCGCGGGACATCCCTCCGCCTCAGCAGCTCCGTGAGTGGTACACTCAGCGTCAGCGGGGTGCGGGTACTGGTCCTTGCACCTACGTCCTCCGTTCCGGCGACCGCGCGGGTGAGCAGTGTGGGGGTGCCCACCCCACCCAGTGCTGCTTTGGCCGCCTGACGGATGCTTGGCGTCAGCAGTTCCCTGGGGCTAGTGAGATCCCTCGCTGGGATGAGCTTCTTAGGGCTGGTGTAGCGATCTTTGATCTTGATTTTGATGCTATCCTTGCTGCTATGTATGCTGTGACTTATAGTGAGGAGAATGAGGGTTACCGGTGTTTCCCGCCCGACCCGGGCATTGGTACTGCTGCGCTAGGTGCTTGTGAGGCTGCTGCTCTAGGTGCCAGTGCGTCTGCGCTCTCAAGTACTGGTGAGACTGCGCTCTCAGGTACTGCGTCGCCCTCGTCCTCCCTCACTTTCACACTTGACTCAGGGGCTTCTCGCTCCTTCTTTCGAGACCGCACTACCCTTACGCCGCTTGGCCGGCCGGTTGCGGTCTCCCTTGCTGACCCCTCTGGGGGTCCTGTCCTGTCTCACTTCTCCACTGTCCTCCCGTGTCCGGCTGCCCCTTCGGGCACCCTGTCTGGTCTGTACCTTCCCTCGTTCTCTACGAACTTGGTGAGTGGTGCAGCCCTGCAGGATGCGGGGGTTCACCAGTTCACTCCTGCGAGTCAGCGGGTGACCCACTGCACGGACGCACGCACAGGCCGACACCTGGCCACCTTCTCGCGTCGGCCGGGGTCGAGTCTCTACACCCTGACCACTTCGTCTCCTCCTGTCCCTGCGTCCGGTCAGGTAGCTGCGTCAGGTCAGGTGTTTGCTGCTGCGTCCCGGTCAGGTCCTGAGTCTGCCCCCTGTTCCTGTCGTCTCTTGTCTCACGAGACTCTCCTGTGGCACCACCGTCTTGGCCACCCCTCCTTGCCCCGTCTTCGGAGCATGGCTTCCCGTGTCCTTGTCTCTGGTCTCCCCCAGTCTCTCCCTCCTCTCCCCTCCGGGCCAGGACCTTCCTGTGTCCCCTGTGTCGAGGGTCACCTCCGGGCTACTCCTCACTCCTCCCACTTCCCCCCGACAGAGGCTCCCCTGGAGACGCTTCACATGGATGTGTGGGGCCCAGCCCCCGTCCGTGGGCAGGGCTACGAGCGCTACTTCCTGTTGGTGGTTGACGACTACTCGCGTTACACCACAGTCCTCCCCTTGCGCAGCAAGGGTGCGGTCACTGAGGTGCTGATCGACTGGATCCGCGAGGCTCGTCTCCAGCTCAGGAAGAGCTTCGGCTCGGACTTTCCTGTTCTGCGTCTGCACTCGGACAGAGGCGGAGAGTTCTCCTCTCGCCTTGTGCGATACTACTGTCGTGCACGGGGGATCCGCCAGACCTTCACGCTTCCGGACTCACCACAGCAAAATGGGATTGCTGAGCGCCGCATTGGCATGGTCATGGATGTCGCTCGTACGTCCATGATGCATGCGGCTGCCCCCCATTTTCTGTGGCCGTTTGCGGTGAGGTACGCGGCGCATCAGCTCAACCTTCACCCCAGGGTCTCTCGGCCCGCGATGTCCCCAGTCTTGCTGTGGACGGGGAAGGTTGGCGATGCGTCGGCGTTCCGTGTCTGGGGATCTCGGGCGTTTGTCCGCGACTTGTCTGCGGACAAGCTATCCCCTCGTGCTTCTCCCTGTGTCTTCCTTGGCTTCCCCACTGACGCCCCAGGGTGGCAGTTTTACCACCCCTCCTCTCGTCGTGTTCTGTCCTCCCAGGACGTCACGTTCGATGAGTCAGTCCCCTTCTACCGCCTCTTCCCCTACCGCACTCCTTCCCTCCCCCCTCCGCCGGACTTCCTTGTGCCGGTTCCCCCCCCGGTAGACCCCCTCCCCCCTTAGGTTCCTGCCCCCTCAGGTGTGTCCCATGTAGACGCAGTTGACCCGGTCGAGGTTACTGGTGACTCTGGTGCTGCTGCGGGTGCTGAGCCTGGGGGTGCTGACTCTGGGGGTGCTGTGCGCGGGGGTGCCGGGCCTGGAGGTGCTGCTACTGGGGGTGCTGAGCCTGAGGGTGCTGGGCCTGGGGGTGCTACTGCAGAGGGTGCTGAGCCTGGGGGTGCTGAGCCGGGGGGTGCTGTGCCTGTAGCTGCTGAGCCTGGGGGTGCAGAGTTGGGTGCTGCTGAGCCTCGGGGTGCTGAGTCTGGAGCTGCTGAGCCTAGGTTTTCTCCTGCTGCTGCGTCTCGGCGGGAGCCCCTCTCTCCACAGGAGCTGCGCGAGTGGTTTCCTCGCCGCTGGAGGCGTGCTGCTGGAGCTGGAGCTTCTTCGACAGTCGAGGGTGCTGGTGCTGCCGGTCCCGGAGCTGCTGGGCCTGCGGGTCCTACTGGAGCTAGCGCTACTGAGGGTGTTGGTTCTGAGACCACTGCTGTCTGTCCTCGCGGTGGTTCTGCTGCTGGTGCTGCTGGAGGTCCTGCCACTGGAGGTGTTGGTGGCGCTGGTGCTGTCGCTGAGGGTGCTGGTGCTGTCCCTGCTGAGTCTGGAGCTGCCGCGCGGCCTCGGCCGTACTTCGTTCCGCTCCTGCAGCAAGTTCTTGGTCTTTCTCCTCCGGTAGAGTGTCCACAGTCTGTCCAGTCGCAGTCACTGTTGGAGCCTTCCTCTCCTCTGCCTGCTCCCTCTCCTTACTCTGGTCCTACTGGAGGTCTTGCTGAGCGTCGTGAGCCTGCGTCTCGTCCCGCGTCGCCTGTTCGTGCTGCTCGCGCTAGTGGTCGCGGTTCGCGTCAGCGTCCTCCTCCTGTCCCTGGCACGCACCGGATGTCTCTGCGTCCGTCCACTACTCCTCTACGTGCCCCTTTGCCTTCTCCTCCTGAGTCCTCCCTTCCTGCGCTTGCCGACCCTGAGTCGGACTCTCTTCGTGCTGCCAGTCCTACTGTCACGCGTCTGCTTGCTACTGTCGTCACTGACCCCTCTTTTGAGTCCACTGCTGCGTCTGCACTTGTCGCTGAGCTCGTCGACTTTGCTGCTCGCTGTCTTCTAGACTACGCTGCTAGTCTTGTTGCTGAGTCTGAGTCTGTCTGTCCTCCGTCCGTCGGGGGTGAGTGTGCTCTTGGCACGGACGTCCTAGAGGACAGGCAGGAGGAGTTCCAGTGTCTGGCTGCTGCTTCACCTCATCTCGCGTCCGTACTGCTTGCTCCTGAGGGAGACCCGGATGCACTAGACATCCCGACTCCGCGCTCTTACGCGGAGGCCGTAGAGGGTCCCTACTCCTCTCAGTGGCAGGCAGCTATGGATGCAGAGATGGCTTCCTGGAAGTCCACAGGCACCTACGTTGACGCAGTTCCCCCTCCTGGGGCGAACATCGTCAGTGGCATGTGGATCTTCCGGGTGAAGCGGCCGCCGGGCTCTCCACCTGTCTTCAAGGCGCGGTACGTTGCTCGTAGCTTCAGTCAGCGGTAGGGGGTTGACTACTTTCAGACCTTCTCTCCCACCCCGAAGATGACCACTCTTCGGGTACTACTGCACATAGCCGCTCAGCGCGACTACGAGCTTCACTCTCTCGACTTCAGCATTGCGTTCCTGCAGGGTAGCTTGCACGAGGAGATCTGGCTGCGCCGTCCACCTGGCTTCACTGGGTCTTTCCCTCCTGGCACCCAGTGGAGCCTCCGACGGCCAGTCTACGGTCTCCGCCAGGCACCGCGTGAGTGGCACGACACACTGAGGACTACGCTTGCGGCTCTTGGGTTTGCTCCCTCTACTGCTGACCCGTCGCTGTTTCTGCGCACCGACACGTCACTGCCGCCGTTCTACATCCTCGTGTACGTCGACGACTTGGTCTTTGCCACAGCGGACACTGCTGGACTCGCCTACGTGAACTTCGAGCTGCTAAAGAGACACACGTGCACAGACCTGGGTGAACTGCGCAGCTACCTTGGCTTGCAGATCACTCGGGATTGAGCAAGCCGCACCATCACCTTGACTCAGTCACACATGGTGCAGCAGGTCCTTCAGCGCTTCGGCTTCACGTACTCCTCGCCTCAGGCCACTGCTCTGTCTACTCGCCACTCGCTCTCAGCTCTGCCTTCGGATGAGTCCGTAGAGTCGAGTGGCCCGTACCCAGAGCTTGTTGGCTGCCTCATGTACCTGATGACCTGCACTCGACCTGACCTTGCATACCCTCTGAGCATTCTTGCACGCTATGTTGCTCCTGGGAGACACCGACAAGAGCACATGGCTGCAGCGAACAGGGTATTGCGCTACCTGTGCAGTACGTCGGGCATGGGGCTAGTGCTTGGAGGGCGGAGTTTAGTGGTCCTTACAGGCCACGCGGACGCTTTTTAAGCTGACGACCAGGCTACGCAGCGGTCGTCACAAGGTTACACCTTCAGTCTTGGTTCCGGCTCTGTCTCGTGGCGGTCTACTCTTTCGTCTTCGGTTCTCGGCTCCAGTTGTGAGGCTGAGATCTACGCCGGGGCCATGGCTGCACAGGAGCTTCGCTGGCTCACCTACCTGTTGACTGACCTTGGAGAGCCGCCTCGTTCTCCTCCAGTGCTGTACGTAGACAACAAGGCCATGCTGGCCTTGTGTCGAGAGCAGCGCTTGGAGCACAGAACGAAGCACATCGCTCTCCGCTACTTCCTTGCTCGTGAGCTACAGCAGCGTGGACAGTTGCGGCTTGCGTACGTTGCCTCTGAGGCCAACACTGCTGATGTGTTCACCAAGGCACTCGCGCCTTGTGACCATTAGCGTTTCTGCACCCAGCTGGGTCTTGTGCCTGTCTTGCCTCACTTGCTCTCCTCTTGACTTTACTTGTACTGTGACATATATATACCTGCTCTTGCTTGTCTAGTTTTATATATATATGTCTGTACTCCTGCATGTGAACTGGCCTCTGGCCCTGCTCTTGTGCTCGGACTGTGTGGTGACTTTGTGATCCACCTTGAGCTTGCTTTCCTTTGCTTTGCTTGACTGGTCTTGTGACCCCTTGTTCTCCCCCACTTTGCCTATGGGGGTGTGTCAGATTATTATAGCTGATGCATGTTTGTAGGCTATAGTGGGGTAGCACATATGGGGTACAGCTTTCTAGGGTTGTATTTGTACCCAACTCTGACTTAGTCATTTCATTCGTGTTCACTTATTTCACACAGGTTTACGCAAGAATTGCTCGTGACGACACTGGATGGGCACGACATTTTACTGGGACGTGATTGGATGCGACGCTACAACCCCCAAATTGACTGGACGACGGGTAGCAGCATTGTGCAAAGTAGTGGTAACTAGGTTGAGCTACCTCGTTGGCGGTCACTCGAGTCTTCAACGGTCCACGTCAACGCCGTCACGATAAAATGGGTTGTCGCCGCTGGAGCTGACTTGTACGCGGTGGAGATTGCATTGGTAGGAGAAGCAGAGCAGCCGAGTGATTTCAGAAATTGCTGGCAGCCATACCGCCCGAGCTACATGAATTTCTGAAACAGTACCCGGGAATTTTTCCGGACGACTTGCCGGAGGGGTTACCACCTCAGCGAGCGCATGATCACCGCATAGAATTAGAGCTGGGAGCTTAGCCAACCGTATAGCGATAGTTCAGACTGACACAGCCCGAGCTCGACGAACTGAGGAAGCAGTTAGATTACTTGTTAGAAAAAAAAATCATCCGACCGAGCTCGTCACCGTTGGCCGCACCAATACTGTTCACACCGAAAAAAGACGGAGGGTTTCGCATGTGTATTGTGAAAATAAGAATAAGGAATGAATGAACTAGCAAGCAGGTGGGTACAAGTATGAAAACCTAAAAGAGGTGTGCCCCATATTGTCTACCCCACTACAACCTACAATATTGTTCTGACATGTATCGACTACCGCGCACTGAACAGGTTAACAGTCAAGTCGCAATACCACTTCCCCCGTGCCGACGAACTAATAGACCAATTGCAAACACCAAGTATTTTTTCGAAACTCTATTTACAGGGAGGTTACTATCAGGTTAGAGTTGAACCATCGCACTGCGCCAAGACAACTTTTTGTCTCGGATACGGATGCTTTGAGTACACCATGATGCCATTCGGACTGACAAATGCACCGACGAGTTTCCATCTTTTAGATAAACGCGTGATCGTTTACCTCGACGACATCCTGGTCTACAGTCGCGACAAGCAACAACACTTAACGGATTTAGAAGTGTTTAGACGAGAATCGTCTTCTGACCAAGGGTTCGAAGTGTGAGTTTTTCCAAGAATAGTTAGAGTTTCTGGGGCACGTGATTTTGAAGGTTGGAGTTGAGATCGACCAAAAGAAGTTAGACACGGTAGAAGTGTGGTACCCTTCGAAGAATCTTACGGAACTGCAGAGTTTTTTTTGGTTTGTTGATTATGTGTGTTGGTTCATCCCCGACATGGCACGGCTAACTGCCCCGCTGACAGATTTGCTGCGGAATGGGGACACTTTTATGTGGGGGGAGAAAGAGCATGTTGCCTTCTTTGCCCTAAAAAATGTATTTTGTTCACCACCCGTCCTGCACATCGCCGACCCTCACGGCCCATCCGAAGTAGTTACCGATGCTAGCGACATCGCCATCGTAGCCGTACTACTACATGATTTTGGCAACAATTTACAACCCATCGCATACGAGTCATGAAGACTGCATCCGCCCGAAAAAAAAACCCGATACATGGCCGCGATGTGAAGGCAATGGAAGGAGCCATAGCTAGGAATGACCTAGCTAGGCAAAAAAGAAGTTAGGCAAAAAAGGAGGTTTTGCACTAGCAAGCAAGGGGATACATATACGAAACCCTAAGGGGTTATACTCGCTATTGAGTACCCCACTGCAGGCTAGAGAACATAAGATAATAGTCTGACACACCCCCATAGCCAAAGTGGGGTGTAATCAGCAGAGCAAGCAAAGCAGTACAAGCTCAGGGTGGATCACAATGTCACCACACATTCTGAGCACAAGTTCAAGAAGCAATAGTTTAGAGTTCATAATTATGAGCAAAGCTAGTGGTAGTCACAACGGCCAAGTGAGGAGGAGGAGAGAGAGTAAGGGGAGAGGAGATAGGAGGCGACGACTGAAGCTGCAGACACACGGGCAACAGGAGGCAGACTGGCACAGCGGCTACCGGACTAAGCGCCCGGACTACAGGAGTAACAGGCCCCGCGGCTAAAGTAGCGGCAGATGAGCAACGGACCCACGGGCGGCTGGCGTAGAAGTCTACGACTGGGCTACCGGGGGAAGTCCCCGGAATACAGGTACTGCTGGCGACAGTGCGGCAACCTCCATGCAGCTTCCCCAAACTGTCCTACTCCCCCTGGCACACACCCACTGCTACACCGCTAGCTCTCCTCCCCCTTCACCCCCCCCCTTAGCATCACTCCACCGGCTCCACCACAACCACCCCCCCCCTCAGCGGCAGCTGCAGCAAAAGGAGACAGAGGAGGAGGAGCAGGGAGCGTAGCTTAGGAAGGGCACCCCCATACCCCTCACCCCCCAAACCCTAAACTAGGAGAATGGGGAGTAGGAGGGGTAGGGCGGTAGTAGAGGGACTGGGACCAGTGGGGAGGGCAGGGAAGGTAGGAAACGGACCCACCACGGGCCTGGTAGGAACGCCCGTACAGAGATAACTACTACAACGGGAGCTAGACTACTGGCTAGGCACGTGTGCTCGTGTGATCTCTGCGTTCGTTGGTCCTTAGACGTTTTCCTAGTGCTCACACTGCTTGCTAGTTCACGGGGCAATTTGGCAAGAGTTTCACTAAGAATAGATGACAACAATAGTACAATGAAGTTGGCAATGCAAGACTAGATCAGAGCTAGCATTCAGGTCGGTAGACTGCCAGCGCAGCATGGTCGACCGCGTTCCAGCACGACTTGGTCGACCACGTCCAGCTGTGCAAAGTCAACAGCTTGCCAACGCTTCAGGTCGACGGTGTGCCAGCAGTGCACACGCTTTGCAGGTGCGTGCAGATGATTGGTATGCCGATTCTCATCACCTGCACAGCACACACACCACGTCAGCCTCAAGCTGACGGCTGCCTCTGATCCGCCACGTCGACCTCGGGATACCACCACCGAGGTCGTTCTCGCCAACTTCGCCTGGGCGACCGTCGCACTCCTCCGCAGCACTTCGTCACCCAGGTAACCTGGTTGACTGGGCAACCTCATCGACCAGCAACTCCCGTACGTGTACGTCAACCTCCCAAGTCGACGACCGCCTCATTGCCGACCTCACCAGGTCGACCACGCCCCTCGGTCGACGACCGCGTCACTCAACGTCCTGACTGCTCGACGCCCGACTGCTCGACGTCGGCCCCTCCTTCGTCGACCACCGGGTCCAGTCGACCACCCACAGATCGACCAGCGCATCAGCCGACCACCGAAGTCGGCTTCCCAAGTCAACGTCACCAAGTTGACGTCCTTCGCAGGTCGACTCCTAAGTCGACCTCCCCAAAGTCGGCGCCACCCTGAAGTCGGCGCCCGTGCAGTGGTCCCCGTGCAGGTCGATCTCCTCGTCGACCAGCTCGCCCACTGCTGCAGGTCGGCTGCTCCCCTAGCACCCGACCACGATGTCGGCTCCGCCCAAGCGTGGACGGGGCCAACATACAACTCCCGTTGACAGCCCAAGCCGCGCGCATGCGGCCCGAGCCACGCGCGGGTCGGGCGTCTCCCGTACGGGCCGCGCGACGGCCTGGCGCAGCCCGTACGGGCCGCGCGCGGGCCTGGCGCAGCCCGTACGGGCCGCGCGCGAGCCTGGCGCAGCCCGTACGGGCAGCGCGTGGGTCTAGCGCAGCCCGTACGGGCCGCGCGCTGCCTGTACGGGCCGCACAGAGGCCACGTAGGGCGACGGGGGGCGACGAGGAGGTCTTCGTCGCCCGTCACAGCGCCTCCCGGGTGCGGCGCATGGCGTGACGGGGCAGCAACCCGCCGCGCACCTCGGGGCGCACGGCGGGTAAAAAAATCGCCG